AAAAAGGGGGGGGGTTACATACTGTAAATGTCTTTTAGTCATTTTAACACCCACATTGATTCAGAAGATGTGATTCACCAGCAAAATGAGTCACAAGAATTCTCTTTTTTTAAATTAATGTAGAGCAGAAGGCTGAAAGGTGGTGGGTAATATGATGTTCATTAAATACCCATGTTGCCTCTTCGACCCAAAGCTCCACACTGTCACCATCTTTCCTTATAGCCATCCTTACCTATGTCGTGCTCCTGCAAAAGGCGGTCGAGGGCTGGCAGGTACTGAACAATGAGCTGGCGGAGAACCCTCTGGTCCGTTTGGACGCCCAGCAGAGTGGAGGAGAAGTAGGATGGAGGAAGGAGGTCTTCAATCAGGGCGCACATCATCCATAGCACATCCTCCTCCTCAAGAAAGAGCAGCAGACAGGAAACCACCTGGGGAGATGTGTGGGGGTGGGTTGTGAAAATGTAATGCACAGTGCTACTACAACTGTGTGTACATGTGTGTTGAGCCAGCTGGCTGGTGTTGTGCAGTTGTTTGTGGTGACATCAGTATCTGTGCATATTTGTGTTCTCACCATGCCAGTGCCCTGACAGTACCCAATGTCTGGGTAGAGCCAGGCCAGGCCTCTCAGTACCCGTCTGAGCCTCGGCACTCCGACACTGGTTAGGCTACAGAAACACACATTGGTTGGCATAGTCCGTAACAGGTCCTTCTCTATCTGAGAGACAGAAGTTAACGGAGAACAGTCTTTTAGTGCTTTTCTTCCATGTAAATATGCCAAATGAAGATGATTTTATTCCATTCATAATGTGTTATAATTATTTATTAACAATTATTTCTGCATGTTCTCAAGAAGTAATATTATTATGCTAACAGCAATAGGGTTGTATTTGGGTACATGTTCAGTAGCTATGGAGTTTACCTGTTTAGCTGTGGAGGTGTCATCGTTGGAACTGTTCTTAATGATTTCTCTGTAAGAGATCTCAGAGGTCCTCTTCTTCTGCAGTGCTCCAGACAGTCGCATCCATAGCTAACAGACAAAGTATATTTAAAGCACTAAAGCTGGAGAAGTAAGAATTATAAATATTCTGAGGGCAACTGTATCACTATAATGTGTCAATAAATTGACAGGCCACTTCAGGCAGGCTTTTTATGGGCAACACTCTCATCAATGACACAAATAGTTCTCCAATGCTGAGTCTACTTACCTGTGGCCTCATGCTGTGAGGAATGCCACCTAGCACCAAGGAACGCAGGCGCTCAGAGCGTGAAAGGACTGGATCAATGAGCTCCCAGGTCAGGTCACCCACTGTGTGGTTGTGGGTAAACTCCAAGTGGGCTTGCCAGCGCAATCGCTGCTGGGGGTCTTCACGCTGGGGTGAGCCTTCAGTGCCGAGCCAGGACCTGGACTTCCCACCGTCTGAGTAAGGAGAGTGTAATATATCAGGATTAAATAGTGTTCGTATTTTGATTACAAAGAACGCAAACATAAGTAAGCACCATGCCACCTCCAATTATAGTAATACAACCAAGCATGATAGGAACATGGAAGGAAAGTGGAAGCAATCTTTAGGTGGGAACACTTGAGAAGAAAAATTCAGGAAGTGAGTGAGGGGAAAAGTGCCTGGATAAGAGACAAGTGATTAAATAACAAAGCCAAAAATAGAATGAGAGACATACACTGTACTCCTAACCATTGACAGTTTTTGTTACGTGCATGTAAACTAACTATTAAGCAAAAATAACAGCCAACATTAAAATCGATCAACAATCAGCTGATTGCAGAAAATATACTGCTGCTGGACAAGAAGGATCATTAAAGTGCAGCGTTCCAAACGACTACAGCCGAACAGTCCTTGGCAAAACTGGGTAGAAAAAAATGGTAAGAGTAACCCAGTTAGTTGCAGTCACTGCTCTGAGACTGACTCAATTTGTGTACATAATGTAGCCATTGTGCCCAGACATGAAGATGTCTATTTATGTTTGCTGACTAGGATTCAGGAATTTTACCAGAGTGGGAAAAATGGAATGAGGACAGAAGAAGAGGCATATGCGTGCGTGTGTGTGTCCATGCGAGTGACGACATTACCTTCAGTGTCCACTCTGAAGCCAAACTCATCATACTGGAGTTCAGGCTGTTCTGGGGAGTCTTTCTGTAAAGACAAACAAATAACATGCATTTCATTAGTAGCGGAGAGGTGATTGTGAAAGGCCGTACTGAAAATAGCCACAGCGGCTTCTCTGAGCATTTTTAATTTCAGTTAACACAACAGATCAGCTGTCACATGAGGACAAAGCTCCTGCGGCATTTTTGTTGTTTGATTATATGAGCATTTGTTTCTCATTTCAAAATAGTCATACTCAATACATTCTCTGCTTATTACTGAAGGTTCAAAGATAAACAACTTTTGAAGTCACATCCTCACTTGATGGTACTTGGCCAAAATGTCCTGGGGCCACATGCTTGGGGTGAGAGCAGAGAATGGCCCACCAGGGGCTGGTGTGTAGGTTCCTAAAACAGAAAGATAAAATTGAATAGAATTAATCACATATTAAGTATTCGTGTTATTTCAGTAAGCCAAGCTCATTGTGTATTTGCGGACATGAATAATACTTGCTGATAACTAGAATACCCCTCTTCTGACGGAGAGCTTTTTGAAACAAATCTTTACCTGACATTTTGTTGGTCGTAGAGCGAGCGGCTTCTATGTGCAAATATCGCAGTCACTCAGGAGAAAGGACGTCAGCAGATAGAGCCCGTTCTGTAAAAAGGACAAACGGAGGAAGAGAAACGGTTAGTGGTTCGACTCTAGTATTGTCTCAACAGCAAGAGGAAGTGTCCTGGAGAAAGACACTGAACCGCAAAGTGCTCCAGATGTCAGTGCTCCATGCATTTGTGGGTGAATGAATGCGAGACATACTGTAGCACTGCTCTCGGGATAAAGCTTCTTTATAACTGCAATAAAGACATCTGATTAGTCAGCATCAAGACTATGGTTGACTTAGTTGTTGCATAGGCAATCCGGCCAAGGCAAAGTAACACATTACATGCAATGTCCTTTTGACCAAGTCCTGTATTTTATGCCCCGACTACTTTTTCTCTTTTTCATTTCAAATTATTACAGTACATCTTCCCTACACCCGCCTTTTGTCGTTTTTTTCCAAAGAAATTGTGAAAAGTACCTTAAACAATGAGGAAGTCTAATATGTCCAACATTCCTGTAATGTAATCCTGTTCCAGCATCAGTGAGATTCTACACAATGACAGAAAGTGAGAGAGGAAGAGATACTGAGAGAGACAAAGAGGGGCATTCTGGGGTTTCTTCTCGTGGCCATATGACTGCTCTGCTTATCAGAGGCTAATTACTTCTATTTTGAGACAGCACATTTGCTGGGGCAAAAAGAAGGACACTAAGAGAGCTTTCATTTAAGAATTCATCACAAACGTCTACTGTTTACTTTTTTTTTTTTTTTAATCTAGTGAACTGTTTTTTTCTTTATGAGAATTCCATTTCTAATATGACCCTAAAACATAGGAGCCCTAACAACATCATCTATTGTACACTAAAACTAGCAATTTTTATTTGCAGGGTTCTTAATGTTCCTTATGTTTGATATTGTATTTAATAAACTAGGTTTATTGTAGGGCAAACCCAATGTTAAAATGTCTCTTCACAATTCCAATGACCTATTTAAAAAGGTCCACAAAACAATGACAGACAAAAGTATGTGGGATGCTTCATACTCCCTTTCAAAGCGCAAAAGAAGAAGAAATGCAGAGAAATGTGTGAAAGATGTGAACATTTGGTTTGTCCATTCTGGGCTAATGTAGGTGGCTCAACATGGCAGACTTCATCGAAGAAGACCAGCTCCCTCTGTAGATAGGGAGGTTACACTCGTGCAGCATACAGCGTGTTTGGCCACATACATTATAAACTTATTAACATAATGGAAAAATTGAATTTTATTTCATTTATGCAATTTCAGCCCAGCCTGCTGGTCTGCAGGCTATTATACATTTGAATGACCATTTAATTTAATAAAACTGTAGCTTTACAAACATGTGCTGCATATTAAAGCCGGCAGTCTGAGCCAAAGAACGCAGATCCAAAATGCCAACAACAAATGTGCTGCTGTCCAAATATGTTCTGAGCACATACACAAATCCCCTGATTATTGGATACTCCCTACCAATTGTTTGAGCAAGAGCCAAAGTTTCTACATCAATTAAGGGGGCAGGACATTTGGATGCTCATAACTTCGTGACATCTTGCTTTCATGTTCACGTTCAAGTACCCTGAGAGGGGACATTTGGCATGTAAGCACTGATTAACCACATACAAAAAACATACACAGACGAACACTACAGCACAACAACCATAACCTGCAAAAGAGGCTCTCCAGCATGCGAACAACCTGCCAAAATGATTCATTCCAGCAGCAGGCTCGCGGCATCTGAAGAGGGATTTAGGACTTAAGAGAGATGAGAAATCAATTTGAGGTTTGGAGGATGGCCAAGTACTTTCAGGCGAGCTCTGTGTGTAGCTCGGGGGAACACTGGGATTTTGGAGCTGCTCCTTTACAAGAACACTGACAGTTTAATCACCTGCCAAGAAAACCAACACAACTGAAGCCCTCCTGCAAACTGTTGCACATATTGACAATCCAATTGCAAAACTGAACTGGGCAACCACAGATCATATTGGAAAATATTTTTGATGTTATTATTATTTCTACTTTTTAATATTGTTCAATTGTTAGATTAACCGTTTCAGTGTTCTGTCTCAAGTTTTTTTATAATGAACTTTTAAGGGGGCCCCACAGTAAAAGTGTTTATGGATTGAAAAGACAGGCCTGCACATTGTCACTGCTCACTAATTCCCACAATGGCCGAATACAACCAGAGATATTGAAGAGACAGCAACCACAGTGTGGACAGAAAAAGCTGACATGTTTCAAATGTATGTCATTTCAAAGCACATCATCCAACCCTAATACAGATTAGGAAATTTCAAATACACAATAACAACGAAGACGCTGAGAAAGCGTCAGTTGAACTTAGATGGAGGACTGATATTTGCTGGGACATCTAAAAGTCTGCCAGGCACTGGTCAGCATGGAGAGGTACAGTAAAAAAAAAAAAACTATCAAAGGACCGGTTGCATAGCAGACATTCTGTCTTGTCTAAGCCAGAAAAAAAAAAAGATAAGTGGACACAGTTCAATTCCATCAAGTGTCTCAGTTACGGTGACAGTGAAATAACACGCACAAAAGCAGGAAGTGGAACGCAGCTATCATTAATACATCTGCTAGTTTCCTGCTATGAAGTGTCTGCTGTGCAACCAGTCTTTTATTGCAAGCAAGCACATCATCTGGTACTGGGATTTTGTCACAGGGATGGATGAAACACCACGAAGAAACCAAATCCCTTTTGGTCCTTAACAGAGGACTTGGCTGGGTTTTATCTCACTGTGAACACAAGGAGCTCTTTCCCCATTAGTGAGGTGCGGCTGTGCTCACCTGTGTTTGCACACACTGGTCAACACCCGGCTGCAGGTAAAACAATGCGTAACATCCTGCAGTACAGACAGGGCAAGTGTGTGTGTGTGTGTG